CAAACACACCATAGGTATCATGTCAAACTCACGATAGGTATCATGTCAAACTCACTATAGGTATCATGTCAAACACACCATGGGTATCATGTCAAACACACTATGGGTATCATGTCAAGCACACTATAGGTATCATGTCAAACACACCATAGGTATCATGTCAAACACACTGTAGGTATCATGTCGAACACACTATAGGTATCATGTCAGAACACACCATAGGTATCATGTCAAACACACTATAGGTATCATGTGAAACACACTGTAGGTATCATGTCAAACACACTATAGGTATCATGTCAAACACACCATAGATAGCATGTCAAACACACAGTAGGTATCATGTCAAACACACTATAGGTATCATGTCAAACACACCATAGATATAATATCAAACATACCAAGAATAGCATGTCAAACATACCATGGATATATAGTGGTTAACATGATTAACATAGTGTTTGTCATGACTCACACAGTGCTTTACAAGACTCACATAGTGGTTGACATGACTTACGTAGTGTTTGACATGACTCACATAGTGTTTGACAAGACTCACATAGTGTTTGACATGACTTACGTAGTGTTTGACATAACTCACATATTGTTTGACATGACTCACATAGTGGTTGACATGACTCGCATAGTGGTTGACAAGACTCACATAGTGGTTGACATGACTCGCATAGTGTTTGTCATGACTCACATAGTGGTTGACATGACTCGCATAGTGGTTGACATGACTCACAGTGTTTGACATGACTCGCATAGTGGTTGACAAGACTCCCATAGTGGTTGACATGACTCGCATAGTGGTTGACATGACTCGCATAGTGGTTGACAAGACTCACATAGTGGTTGACATGACTTACGTAGTGTTTGACAAGACTCACATAGTGTTTGTCATGACTTACAGTGTTTGTCATGACTCAGTGCTTGACAAGACTCACATAGTGGTTGACATGACTCACATAGTGGTTGACATGACTTACATAGTGTTTGACATGACTCACATAGTGTTTGACATGACTCACATAGTGGTTGACATGACTTACGTAGTGTTTGACAAGGCTCACATAGTAGTTTTCACGACTCACACAGTGTTTGACATGACTCATATAGTGGTTGACATGACTCACATAGTGTTTGGCAGGACTCACACAGTGTTTGTCAAGACTCACATAGTGGCTGACAAGTCTCACATAGTGTTTGACATGACTCACATAGTGTTTGACAAGACTCACATAGTGTTTGACATGACTTACGTAGTGTTTGACATAACTCACATATTGTTTGACATGACTCACATAGTGTTTGACATGACTCACATAGTGGTTGACATGACTTACGTAGTGTTTGACATGACTCAC